ACACACACACACACACACACACACACACACACACACACACTCACATATGTGTATGTATATGCATATGTATATGTACTTGTTTTCGTAGATTTTCATTGGTGTAGGTATGCTGGCCTTGTTTTATTTGGATCTTTTCCTGTGTAAGATTGAGATTGTCTTGCCAATGTTTCAGCGAGGTCTCACTCGCCATCTTCAGGCTGATGATTACATTATTCCAAAAAAGATATCAGACAATCAAATGACCACATCATACAACTCATTGAACCCTCAAATTTTTTAAACCACCGGCATAGAGAATCAGATGTATATCCTTTCAAATGCATCCCATAGGGAGGCCAATATACCCTAAATACATTTTTTTATAAATCAGATTTAATCTCAGATGCATAGACATTGTTTAAAATGTGAATCCATTGATAGGGGCATTACTGGAGAAAATCTCGTTTTATTCCTGTCATGGATTCTATCATGTAAGAGAACATCTCGGGTGTCTGCTTGTGCTCTCATTCATGGCTTCTCCTTTTATAGCCATTCACCCTCCCAATACCTTTGATGGACATTGCAGTCTGGACAGCAAGGGATTGGGAGAAGCTGCTTTACATATTTCCTGGCAGGTTGCTTGTGTCTTACTTGTTTCAACTTTGCTGCAAAGGCTGGGAAAGAAATTTCACCATGGATGATGTTTCCTGCCCTTCTCCAAGCATTTTGAATAATTAAATGATTAGGCTTTCAACAAGAAAAAGACAAGGCTTGTCATGTTGTCTTTAGTGTATACTCTTGCTCCTTCTTGAGCCTGTGTGTGTTTGTGTGTGTTCACTTTCATTTCCATAAAACCCAAAACCTTGTCAGAAAATACAGTCTAGCAGCCAAGCCAAGAGTAGAGCTATGTATGGAATACCAAAAACACAGGCCTAAGATGATGAGAACACTGCTCACATCGATCACAGTATGATAATGGGGACAGGAGATTGTATTCATTCAAGAATTCTGCTGGAGTCACAGACCACTGGCAAGAAAGGACAGATTCTAAAAATAGTGATGAATCTTAAAACAGACACATGGAACTTGCTAACTTATTTCCAAATGCACTAGCAAGTTCCTCCATTAAAACATTTCAAAAGAGCCCTGGGAGCATCAGGCCATTAAATATATTAAGATAGCACCCTCGTCTACCCCTCCTCATTTTAGCACTGGTAATACACAGATGTAAGTTTTGATCAGGGGTGGGTTTCAACCGGTTCGCGGCGGTCCCCGCGAACCAGTTGGTCGGCGAACCCGGAAG